TATACACTACTTCATCCTCTTTTCGCCCTTTACTTCTCGACAGTCTTGCCGTGGGGTCTCCAAACGTCGAAGGTGATAATCCCACACTTTCAAGACCATTCTTTATATACTCTGACCTAATAGGTGATGAGAAATCTTCCTCTTCAACGACAAAAGTCCCTGGCCTCAAAAGCTCTTTGACTGAACCTCCTTACGAGTGCCCAAAGATATCACTTATCCATTCACTCACTCCAATTCACTTATCAAACCTAAACATGCTTCTTACGACAAACTACTCTCAGACTACATTTTCCCCATTGACTATAAAGACAATAAATCAAGCAAACATGAATATTAAGCTTATACTCCTTCTTCTTTCTCCTCTCCCCATGAAAATCAAGCAACGCACTGAGTTTGTGTTACACTCATCTACTAGAATAATAATTACGGTATCTGACACTAATGTTAATCAGTGCTCGATCCGTACGAAAAAATTGACTCACCTGTCCATCCTGGTACTTCTGGACAATCCCTAGTTTGATTTGACGATAAATTGTTGGTTGACCTCTCATGTCACAGACTCGTACTTTCAAACAGACAAATGAGCTCTTGTGTCGTGATGGAGTCACTAAGGATGATGGCGATGGTCATCTTATAAACACATCCAAAAACACGAGATCGGAAGGCATAAGTGATACTGTCCTCAGCAAATTACCTCACTCAACACGGCTTACTGTACATGATGATGAATACAAAATACAATTTAGATCCACGTATAAAATCCAAGCACTCCTAGCTGAACTACAAGTTAGTTATTTGATAGGGCCGTCTCTCTTATTCCAGACTGAAAAATCATTCGTGGTGGTTTCAATCTTTCCACCATCAACTGGAAGACACTCTGGTTCAGTGTATTTATTTTCTTAAGCATACACGGTTGGAAGCAACATGTACACCTGCCTTCACGAAACCATGACATTCCCGACTTCATATTCCGTCTCAATATCACTTGGCGCACCATTCGAAACGGGCAGTGGTATTGTTTCTCTTTGAGTTAAATTTACTGTTTTGATTGTAAACTGCCACTGTTTCCACTTTCATTGAATTTATTTCAGTTAAAGTATTATCATACTTGTGTGTATCGACGTTGCTTTTGTGTATTTATTACAACAAAGCATACTTAATCGACTTTGACTTCATTTATTTTGGTTAAGGTTTGAGATTTTCTGCATATCCATTTTTGTGTCACAATTCTCAGTTAGCTTTTAAGATGGTCTGCTCCTCTCACAAATGTAGACAAACATATTGCAGGTTTCCTGTAGCGAATGGAATACAATGCGGTGAGTGTAAGGAGTGGTATCACAAGATGTGTACTCACTTAAATCTCATGGCATATGAAAGGTGCCCGAAGCCTAACTACCATTGACTTTGAGTGTTTTGTTGTTCGAGTGATACATTACTCGTCCGAAGAGACTATTAGAATTTGCACGTTGACTAATGAAAGGATTAATCTGGGCTGTACTCGTGACATGGGTACTGGTAGCAAAAAATGTGTTAGTGTCGTAAGTGCTGTTACAATAATATTTATCCCTATCGTAAATCATTGAATTCATTTCAGTTAAATTGATATTACACTTGTCACTTCATTGTCTATTCTGACCAGTTTTATCGTAGGAATTTGCGATTTTTCTTTCTTTGTTTCTAAAGAGCACGATGAGTTTAAAGATAGACTAATATATTTATTGTGAGTAAAGGCAAGTTATCCTTTGTTGACCTTCTATTTATGTTAATTGTTGAATGGGCATTTTCCTAGTTATCTAATGTTCAGCTTTGAGGATTGTGAAAACATACTACTAGGAAAAGTGTATCGTTTATAGATTATATATTTTAGGTTACAAAGCAATTCAACGCTAGTTAGTTGTTCCCATTGTTACTCTTGTAATCTCATAATTGTCATGCACTATTTTGACGAATACTTCCGCATCAAGATTTCTAATATAGTCAGGGCGCCCAAATTCAGTGACTTTTTTCAAGCCATTTTGAAAGTGCTGATATCTCCGAGTCAATAAACCTGGACGTGATCTGAAGAATCAAAAGTGTTCAGCATCCAAACCGACACTGCCTATTCTCATATACTTTAAACCCAGTGAAGAGCATGAGTTGTTATTGTAATGGTTTCGTTATATCCCGATTTAACAATCATGTAACATGATTGATATAAGTGATAAATCTGAAAGCAAAATCAGTTGATAAACTGACTAATAATCAGTTCCTCAAGCAAAGTGTTGTTTTCTCGCAGATAATTTTACCCATGACGGATATTTTCAGTAAATTTACCCTTCGGCTGCTTCAGCGGGACTTTGTCAATTTGATTAAAGTTTGACGATAGCCATTTATAGGTTTTTACATCATGACATATTTACAATTTTAGGATTAGGTCTATTATTATCATAGTATTATTAACGACGTAGACTATAATTCTATGAAGTCATTAAGTCTTTCATATTTGGAATAGGAGTTTAGTGGTGAAGTTTCCGTGATATGTTACATATTATTGATGTAAATGAATACAAAATGGTACATGCTATAAAGCACCTCAAACATTATAGATTATCTAGTGATCTAGTCAAGTAGGCCTGGACCATTTTCAGAATTCGTTAACATTTCGGGAGTTCACTGGCTTGGTTTGTTGTAGGCGTTCACAGAAATTTCGTTCAATTACTCACCGAAAACTAGCGACAACATTTATGTTGGTTGTCGAAGCGTTTTACAATCGCGATCATAAAATAGTCCTTTACACTGTACTGATTCATGCCAGACGCAAGCAATAAATATGCGTTTTCAATATGGAGACTATGTGCACACTGACAGGGAAAACTTACGATCTCTAACAAACCACTCTGACCGAAGTAATTTCTTCACTAATGACAAGTCTTTAGAAACAACGGGAATATTCATTGTCACATTTAAATCAGCACCAGACACTACCATTTCCTCCAAAATGGCCTCTAAAGCAATAATTCCTTAAATCAACCAAAAAGTAGGTCTGGGCTACTAAAACTAAAAAGGATGTGTTGTATATCGAAAGACATCAGTAGCCCGCACCAAATATACTCTGTTCTTTAAGGTGTGCAAAGTCAGCACAACAACTAAAAACAAGCAGAGGAACACACTGCGCTCACTACTGCATCAAAAACCCAAAACTTATATCGTCTCCTTGAAAAACGCTTAAGAAAGAGAGTAGATCACAGCATTCCTTTCTGTACGATGGTATGATGTATTATAACCAAACTGTTTTATGTGGACTGTTAAGTGGATGATTTTCCCGTAATCAGGATACATTTCACGCTACAAGTGTTAACATTAAGTTCATCAGCAAAAATAATTTTAGTACCATTAACTTTGATCTTAGTAATATACACGCCACCACCAAAACACTTAAGCCGAATGCAAGTTCTTGTGTGAATTAAAATCCCATCGGCTTTTTACGAAGGGGGGACCGGACATACTAACAGTGGTGCCCACAAACACGGATGGAGACCAAAAAACCTGACCCAGAACTACAAATCTATGAATACCACTCCAGTAGTGTCACATATAATGTAAAAAGTTATGCCAGATTAGTTATATTACCACCTACTTAGGGAAAGTCTGAACAACCCGTCACAACACGGCTCTGTTAGAACAAGATACTGCAGTAGATGGCTGACAGACAGTTTTAACAAGGTTCCTCGCATACGTAACCAATAGAAACTAATGGTTGAATTGTATTTCGATACCAAGAAAGCTTTAGATTAGGTACCTCATAACTTCTTAATCAATAGACGTTATTCCATTGAAGTTGTTAGTCCCCTATTGCATTGTGTTACGTCTTTTCTCAAGAACAGAGGCCAAATAATCAAAATTAACTCTACATTAACTACGACTCTACCAATACCCAGTCGTATTATGTTGGGCGGTGTTTTAGTTTCTTATGCAGATTTTTCAACATAGGCAAGACCTGCCATTACGCTGGTGATTTTGAAGTCATCTTTAAAAGTAACATATGTGATGCACGTAGTACTATGCGAAAAATACAACATGAACTCAACAAGGTAGATAATCAATTTAAGCGCTGGAGCTTAGAATTCAGCACAGAGAGATGAGGCTGGCTATGTGTTGGAGATACTCCCTTGAAATAAAACTGACAGGTAACTAAGAGGTTTTACTCAAAATCATACCAGTAATAGACCTCAAAGTACATTACTCACACAGTCTTAACTTTTCTGAACATATCTTCTTCAGAGCACCTAAAATGCAGGAATCGCAAGGCTACATCATTCGTAACTTTCAAAATGAACCTAAAATCATTTTTTACAAGATATGTGTTTGACCTAACGTTGAATACTGTTCGATCTTATGTTCCAACTTACGCCTATCTAATATGCTGAAAGAGCAAGGAATACAACGGCCTTTAAATCGCGAAATGCTTAAAAATGATTCACTTACTGATAATAGTACCCAATGTCAGATCTCAAGACTTGAACATCTCAGAAAAAGAAGGCTTAGGTCTAATTTGATTCTTTACTTTAAAATTCTTGTAAATCTTAATTATTCCACTTGTAATATATTCCTTACCCAAGGCCCACATGTATATGAATATCGAAATAAGGTATTGCGATCAAAGTTGAAAAGTAAAGATCAAAAACTTGGGAAAACTTCTTCCTCCTTAAGTACGGATCGATATGGAACAGTCTTCCCTCCAAAATACGCATGGCAGCTGGATTACATACATTTGTAAGACTTCTAACTGAAGCCCTTGCTTGCACTGATATAGTATGCGCGGACATGCCTGCATCCTACCCAAGCATCGTATGCCCTCTATGTATATAGACCATGTAAGACTCTGAGTTTGATACCCCTTACTTTCTTTCCTTGTAGTCGTATGAGATAATTTCCCTGCCTAATTTTTATTTGAAATAGACAGGTAGCTCACTGAACCTATGGACACTGCTCATCTACAGTCGATCGCTAAGGGGAGCTCAATATTACCCTAGTGAATAAATTTGTTTTAACTTGATAAAGAAAAGATAGTCATGGTAACCCCGTGTGACAGTTTTAATAGTTATCAAATGAGCATTGTAAATACAGAAGGTACACAACTTATCTTAATAACCCACTCCTTTCCTTAAGGTACTTCAGCAGTCTCGGTTATTTTTCATTTCGATAAGGGATTATGTAAAACATTCAACAATAGTGTGGTTCGTCAGAAAAGTGTAATGAAAAGCTATGGAAACGGTCAGTCAGTTGGATTTGCTGATGAAGTGAGTATCTTCTGACTTACCTGATTTCATGCATAGCTTTACGATGGTTTAATTGTTCAGCAAGCGTCTGGTGGCTTTATAAAAATAGTCTTAGTTTTTCTCTAGTACTCAAGAAGGGAAACTCAGATTTTTTATTTGTGTAGTAAGGACAGAAGGCCTACGGCCTATGTTATTCCTTTTCTAGTATGCTTCCGTGAGTGTCCAGTCTGCTCTTGAAAGAGTCAATTGAAGGTGCGGACACCACTGCTTCAGGCAGCAGGTTCCAAGTATTGATGACTCGGTGTGAAAACCTGTATGCCATGGGTATTTTGTTCGTTCTTGGCTTTTCTACTCGCTTGCTATGTCCTCGGGTAAATAAAGTTGAATTTTTAAATAAATGTCAGTAAATGTTTAGTACTCATTACTAAAAGAGTAGATCCGCCCTCCAAAATATCTTACGAAATATTTTATCCTAAAATCTAACTAACATAAATGAACACATCACTAGATGTTATCCATACTTAATTGACATCTATGATTTTTTCTACAGAATAGATTTGTGCTTCACAATTTTTATACCAGACTCAACATTTTCGGAAAGTTCCGCGTCACTTAAATTCCTGGAAACATAACCCTCAAGAAATAACGTAATGACTACCAACCTATCTAGTTTATTAATTATTTACTTGAAAAGGTTCTGGGCGGAATAGGGCCTTCGCTTAACAGGCTACTGCATTTGATAGCAGTAGATCACTGATGCCTAACTGGTAGACATATATGACTGATTGGATCAAAAGCTATTGAGAGGTCAGGGTATATAACGTCAAACTTACCCTTTTTATCGAGGACGGTTGTCTAACTACCACGGTTAGCAGGTTGGGTATACGAGAGTGGCCCTTCCTGAAACCATCCTGTTGAGGTGAAAAGTTTATGGATATTAAGCAATCATGTAAACCGTCGCAAATCAGTGACTCCATATTTTTTAAGGGTATTAAATGAAGTTTTGTCAGCTGATGGCTTGGGATTTTGAAGTGGGACATAAGAATGTTTTCTTAAGTATATAATTACCGGTTGAAACTTCACTGTATAAAGTCATAAAGTGTAAGGACTATATTGAGCGTTAGGAAATACAGTATATTTACGGAAAATTTACTGTCACACCTAACAGACTAGTGAAAGCCTAGTACAATGTACGTTTTAAGTGACAAATTAAATGAAATTGTATTACCGCTGTATTGTGCAACCAAACTCACGAGTTCTTGATTCCATGAAGTTTTCCCTTTCTAAAACTTTCATTAAGGCTGTATCCACTAACTTTTTCAGTTTCTTTGCCTACAAAAGTTTGCTTAGGAGTATTGACAGCCGTGGGTCTGAAGAAGTGTGTCTACTAAACCAGCATTGTTATTTACAATCTTATAGGGTGTATATTATTTGATGTTTAACTTCATTGTTGTTTTATACAGCATAAGATTTAAGGTAAATCGTAATTGCTATTACGTGTTTAAGCAATTCCTCTCATCTTTGTGTGCGCATTTATTTAAACTCTTATCTTCATTGGTAATCAGAATTTTAAGAGCCCATATACTTATCCTGTAATTTAAAGCTTTCTGATAGTGTCAAAGCAATTAAACCTACTAGATGTGAGCCTTGATTTTTCCAAGTGAATCTTTAATATTTACAGGGTAAAGTTAATTTAAATGGACCCGCTAATACTTCGTTATTGATAAAATTACCGATAAGATCGGAATTAATGTTGGATGCATTGGATAGCATGAAAATCCCACCCCAAAGTCAACGTTGGTAAATGAATTGTTTAAACAATATTGATGTAAGGTATTAATCATACGCATTAAATCGTTAATAACTCAACGGACATTTAATTTGGACCGACCAACGCTATGCCATCCACTTAAGTATCCCAATATGAAAATAATAGTTTCTCATTTTTTTAACTAATTCTGTAATCTTTTTGGCAATAATTCCCCTAATTTTCGGAATTTTGACGAAGACTTTTCGGGAATTTCAGACTAGTAATAATTCCCCGTTTATAATCTGGGGCTGACATAACAAAGTAATATTGAATGCTCAAATTAGGCTTACAAATGTAACCGAATCAAATAGATGCTAAATGTCAATGAAAAAAGAGCAAACAAACGATTACAACAGATGTAAAAGTATAAATGTTGGGTGTTTCCACCTTGAATTTCTTTTAATATAACGGACACTTTTAGGGTGCTAGTAATAAATATTTCACATGTAACTTGTTACACATACTATTTAGTGTATGCAATCTTTGACTTTAAATCTTCATATGCAATTGAGTTTTAACTACTTCTACTAAATTTGACTGACATAGTTTTACAAAAAGACTAAATATTGTAAAAAAAAACAATGATTTAGGTAAACAGAAGTATCATTACTCAAAACTGTCAATTACCTTCAAATAAACACTACTTTTAGGTTGTTTGTTTAGACGGTGACTGGAAACGCAATACAACGATTGGCTTTCTACATTTTGATTCCGCTGTGGCGGCTCAGAGGTGGCTTATCAGCGATCCAATATTTCGTCAGCACGACTGGTTGGATGATGCGGAAATATGGATTGTACCTTTATGTACGGAAATAAGACGTGAGTATTCTAAGCTGATTTAATTAACCTACAAATTTCTTTCGTGTTTAGACACTAAAAAACCAGTCTTTATTAAGAGTAGATCAATTAAAATAGGGAATAGACGGTATGGTTTAACCAAGTACAAGTTGGATTTAAAGTTGTATCGTTCTTCAGAGTGATGCAAAGTAGAGATGGGTTATTTTCCGAACAATTTTCAATACCAGAAAATATGCAAGGCTGTTTAAGTGACTGTTAAAAGTGAAGAAATAAATTAGTTACAATATGTCATCAAAGTCTTGAAATGAATGTCCAAAACAAATAATCAAATTAGAAAATACATCTATTTCAGAAAGCAAATATTATATATTTCAAATACATAAACCGAAAAACAGCATAATTTAAAGCATTTATAGTGTCAAGATGTAATGAGTTGTTGACATACATTTTGTGTAGGTTAGACAGATTTCACTAAAATACAAAAGCAAGATAATGAAAATCCTTCAATATTCTTGACTTTCTGTAGATACCTTAAAAGATACCACAGACTGACATTACATACATATATGCATATACATTTAAATTAATACAAAAACAAAAATTACTTATTTCACATATTTTTGCAGCATGGAATTACTTGCAATTGAGTTTATTTAGCTCAATTAATGAAGACAACTTTAGGAATCAATATTTACCTAAATTTGGAGAATCAGTTTCAAAATTTGGAGGAGTACCATTTATTAGTTCAACTTCCTATATTGAAGTACCTCGAGGACTAAATGAAATCGACTATTTAATTATTACTGGATGGCCCGATGACGATAGCTCTCTTAAGTGGAACCAAAGTCGTAAGTTGAAGCATAAGCTCATTTATAAATACAATCTAATATGAGGGTGGGTTTACTTTCTAAAGGAAATTTGATTTGAGCATACAGTGTCGGGCCTAAAACCAACCTGATTTTCATAGGCTTTATGTGCCTTAAATTTAGTTGAAGCTACAGGATTTTGAGGGGTTGAACAGCTTATTAGCGCATTCTTGGTAACTGGTTATTTTGAGGTTGTATTTCCTTATACTTCTTCACTGTCTTGTGGATTGAACCTCAAGGTCGAAGGCTCGCATGTTTGCTGCCTATGAAAGTGACCTGGTTCTGTCTGGATATTCAAGTAGTATATTAACCTTCTCACAAATATAACAACGAATTGTTATGAAGCTGATCCACTTGCTCTGTTTGACTACTGACATGGTATATTATTACAACTCACTTATTTAAAGTGTTTCTATTTTACCAAATTCTACTTATCTGTTTCTTTTTTTCCAACTTGGAATAGAACAAGAGCTGTGTTCGGCTGTCCCTGGAAAGTCTTAAGGTTGATGTATGTTATCTATCAGAGCCCCGTATTCAAGAAGTTAACACAGTATTGCACATTCACTTCCCACCAATCGAAACGCCTGTATCACGTGGATTTACCCATGAAACCCTTGCATCGTCGGGTTTGTTGGCATTAGTGCCTCATTGACCCCTAGGGTAGAAGCAATACTAAGCAATTAAGCCCCCACTGACCGTTGTCTAAATGTCCTGTCAGATCATAAAGCTCCATCAAAGTAAATAAAAACTGACATGCGAAACGATGCCTTTTCGTAATTGCCGTTTACGCCCTAACACACTGCAACTAGAGTGCAATTAAATATGCGTTCTATCAATGGCTAAATGATGTCCTCAAGATAGGGCGTTTTATAGGTGGCGCAGTGCTAGCTGCATATCTGGATATCAAAATCGAGTGTCTGGTAACAGAGGAGAGTAGTCGAAGTGGCTGATGTGGAATTGTAGATCATATATCAGATAACGATGTCCAACTCCTAAAGCTTTGTTCAGAGCACAGCCCATTTTCGACAAAGACGAAATTTCGGAATAGCTATCAACACTGTGCTATCTGGTGGCATCCTTCGAAAAATCAGACTTCGACTCAGATTGACTACTTTGGGACCATCTACCCTGGCGTGATTGTTTGCAAAATTTTCGCTCCTTTTAGAGCACTTATCTGGACTAATTATCCACCAGTTCATGCCAGTCTTATCCAACGTTTCAGTGGCCAACAAACTCACCATTTTAAAAGGATCGATATCAACAAATTGGCTCCATATTCCGATGAAACTAAATATCAAACCAAGCACAATTCAAGGCTAGCAGCTAACAACCCACCAAAAGTGAATGACACCATGAAAATAGCTAAAGTCGCTTCCGGCTTTGTGTAACATCCCATTTATAAGCGATGGGTTTCTACAGCGTCCTTACATTTCTTTGAACCATATCGGTCAACACTAGATAATCGCGAGTTCGACGTGACGTAGATTCCTATTTAGTGAAACTGTACAGTTCGCGCAAAGATCGAGAAATCTGGTAGTCAGAGCCATCTAATAAGTTAGGAGTAGCATCTTCATCTGGTAATCACCGGAAGCTATTAGAACTCATCCGAACCACTGACACCAAGAAGCCTGATGTGAGACAGTCTATGAAGTTGATAGGCCGCCAGTCAGTAACACTAAATGACGTCTTGGAGTACGAACATAAGTCCTCGAGGGACTTTTCAACCGGTTTACTAACCCAAAAAGATCACTCTGTCTTCTTTCCCCGGTCCAATGAAGACTGATCCATCTAAAGAGGTCCGTACGGAACTCCAGCTTCTGAAGATCCACAAGTAGACAGGTCCAAATGAATTACCCTCAGCTCTTCTTAAGGATGGTTTATTTATTTTAAGATATGGATGTAATACTTCAGCGAGAGTAGCTTTGCTCCATGGTCGAAATACCTGATCTCTTCGAATTCAGGATGCTAGACGATTCATTGTGTTTGATAGTCGCTAGCTCTGAAGAAATACTAACATTCAGGAGTAACACCCCGTTAGTAATGCATAGGTTCGGAAACGCGCGTTCGGATACAGTGATGATACCATCATCTCGAAACACCAGGTTTAGTGGCTTAGACATGTATTATGAACGCTATCCCGAGGAAGTCTACATCCTCCATTATTTGTCGACACTGGTTGGATAAAGTCATGCTCAGTTCTTGACATAGTGCTGTGGTACGGAAGAAAGCTGTAAATCACTAGTATGTCGATCCTTCACGACTCTGGTAAGGGTCCTAGAGATAATGTAACAGTGGTTTGAAACATCGTGAAAAAGCCCACAATATTAGCTATTGGCAGTCCTGCTGTAATTTTCTTTTACTTTCTTCATAAAAACGAAAGATTTTTAATTGAGTGAATTCTTTAATATAATTCTTCTAAATGAAATGTTCCTCGCGTTATATACTACTCTTGTTCACCTATTTTTACTCACTAATTGTTTGTTATTTTATATTCACTTACTTTTATCTGTCGCTTCACATTTTCTATTTGTGTGGCGTACACTTATTTTCGTGCTTATTTGTACCAATATTTGTATGTCCAAAAAAATAAATAAGTAGACGTTGAATTGTTGGAAAGACCCACATTTTCAAAACTACATTGGACACACTAATCGTATGACTTCTCTTTTACAAACTAAGACGATTAGTGAACACGACCAGCTTGATGTAAGTCGCCCTTACTTCTCGTGTATCGAGACTGCTAAGAGTTTTCAAACATTTAATTCCTTAGAGTCCCACGAAACACTTCATTTCCCTAATCTTTTGGTTTAGTTTCTCCACAAACTTCACTGTGGTTTGTATAGTTGACTCAAGACCAAATAGACTATCTTGTGATGTGCATACTTTCCATCGTATCGATTTTATGCTGTGCTGGAATTATGAAACTCCTACTTCACTTAACCCATGTAGATGCAGACTACTTGGTTGGGGTCCGTGTGGCAATCATTACCAATGGTTGGAGACTCTAGGTGACATGACTCATAATCGAACACAATGGCGTAGATGTATAAATATACTTTATACCTTCCTTTCTATGAAGTAATTCTTTCTTACTATATTATATCGTTATACGCTATCTTCCCTTTATATATTACTATCATTGAAGTAACTAATATGAATTTAGTGTCCATCTTGTTGTGCTAATGAGGTATGGTAACTTGGACCGATGCATATATGTGCCTGGTCCTACGTTGTAACTGACTGACTGACTTTAAACCACCTACATGGGTTAATATTATATTATAGCTTCATTCTTTATAAGTCTCATAGCTTGCATTGAAACGCCATGGGACAGGTGTTTTTAAGACGGATCAATTTCAAACCCCTCCTCCGGCCTGCACAAAACATCAACATCGAGTTTTGATTACCCGTAGGAAGTATATTGCTGCTCCCACACTGATGCAGTAAGGAATACAACCTCGTCCTTGAGTCCGGAACTTGATTTTGATCGAACCTGTTGGGTATGCCAGAAACTCAAGGAACAAGTTTTCCAGTCAATATAGCTTAGTTGGGCCGTCCTAATATACAGACGGCAATTAAGATCAAACTAAGTTTGTGCATGTACGGTAATGACTTATGTAATGTGCTGATGAATGTGACAGATCAGATAATCGAAGTATTAATCAATAAAAAATCTTTAAACAATTAAAACCGTGCTCCTAATACCTTATCACCAATAAAATACACGAATATGTTTAACTGAGTTCTGCATTCACATACAATGGTTTTAAAATAAAGGCGTGGTTCAATATTATTTAGGTGGATTACAATGAGCAGGCACATATTTGTAGTAATCCCAAAACGGCATGTTTTGCAAGAACATCCTAATATCTTAATCAATATCTACAATATAAGCTGCAGTGATGTATTGCCTTTTAATTAACACTTATTTTGCAGCAAATAACCGACTTTATACAGCAACATGACAAGAAACTACAAAGTACAACGTAATGAAACTGTTGTTCCGAAACACGAACAGCTGATATTGGAGAAACACTTAGGTGTTGAGATTTATGTATTTGTTCAATTAAAAAGGTGGCGAACACCAATGGGTTTTGTCGTCGTAACAAGCCCGAAGATTTTGAAATTACGTTGAATAATTAGTTAGATTTTATGCCTCAGTAATCATGTCTTACCAAACTTTTATTCGAAATGAAAAACCCTTATCATAAAGATAAAAATAAGATATATAACTTTACTAATCACTTAATTTACTTAAACTTCGCTGGTCCATGAAACCATAGTTATTTTGCCTATTTCGTTTATACCTACAGATGAAGCAGAAGAACTAAGAAATATGCAGGAATCTTTTTCAAAGTCTTCGACAATATTGGCGATGATACGACATAATTACTAGTGCGTCATTATTAATGGTTCATATATGTACACAATTCTCAAAGCATACTTGTAAAATAAACAAATGTTTGCAACAAGAGTAGCACCTGCAACTAAAAGTAGAAACTTCAAAAACAATCAACTCGACTTCCGAAATCGTTTGTGTACTTTACTGAATTACTAGCATGGAGAAAAGTGAAGATCTCATCAAATAATGAACATAGATAAGCAGTAACAAAATCCTTATTTGACTAATACACTGTCATAAGGCTCTAGGAAGAATGTCTCTTTGAGATATCACCCCAACCTCGTGAACTAACTAAACGCGTAGTCGAAGTAGCAATGAACATTTCACTCAAAGCTAAACAAAATAAAAGCTATGGTGATCTAAGCATACTTTTACCCTAAAATTTATAGGCCAAGACAAGTGTTCACTACAAGAAGTAATTTTCACAAATTATAAAGTTTATACTGGGAAATTTGGCCGAAGGAATATCTAAAGTCAGATTTACGTTCCTCAAACTTGAACATTAAATTCCTCATTTGATAGTTTTTAGTATCACACGTAAATAGCGTTGGAAAGGACACTTCAGACGTATAACAATTCGAGACTTATTTTATCTGAATAAACCAACAACAACGTCTATGGCATCAGTAGTGAATGAACTAGGTCTTAACTTTAAAGTCAATAAGATTTTCATTCATTTTCAAATAAACTACACATAAAACAAATAATAATAAGATAGTCTCGACAGCACTGATGCGTGGTTCGCTCACAATTTATGTTACCATTTCCACAAAGCCCCCGAATGCCCTGGTATGGTCGAGAATGGGGACAGTCATCTCTCCCTCTCGAAATGCTCTCACATGGCCACGTGCATACAGCCACTGCCAGGGAAGTCCTACTCACTGCCTTCTCTCACCAGCGTGTTGTTTTCGGAATTGAGAGGACGAAAAGCGAATGTCTATCCTCTTAACTGGGTCGATTGATACAGACCCACCTAGGGGAGTTGGAAAACCCTCATTCCAAACTAATGGTGCACATGGGCTCCAGGATCCTGAGCGAAAAAAGACGTATGAACCAATTATTGGTCACCGGCTACCAAGGGACTGCATCTCCTTACGTTAATCCACTGGACTGGACCTCCAGGTAAAAGGCTCAGGGTGTGGCCCCCTAAGAAAACAACTTGCTTTGGTTTGGGCACCCGGGCAGTATCCCAGCCCTCATATAAATCGAATGATTTATGTAGCGCATATCTATTAGTTGCCTCCTTGTACCAATGTTTACGTGTTTAAATAGATAAATTTTCCACAAATTGAACTACTAGAGGAAGATTACTCAAACAAGTCTTCTAGGGGTCATTTATCCGTGAAGCCTGAAATATCGATAACTAATGGGTAACTGAATAACTATCCTTCCTCTACCGACAATTCCTCAAGTACCTATTCGTTACAAACTGCCACTTGGTGGTTATTCTGCAATATTAAAGTGTGCGACGAAACACTTATCATGCGTCAATAAAAACATGTCGACAAAAATGTGATTGATGTTGCAGACAACTACTCTACATCTCACGTATTACAAGAAAGGGTCAAACAAGTTACCATATATATGCTTGTTCCCCAATACAAATCAAAAACAGTAATAAACGATAACATAACATTGCTGACAATACATAAATTGTTTGTATTTAAAATGATACGATAACATGTACATTGACTAGTTGATTCTCCCGTAAGCTTGGACAATATTTCATAGAATCAGCACAGATAGACATTCTTATTAGACACTAAAAAACGGAAATAAAAACTAGAAAATAGATAGGCAAGATGATTACGAAATTTTTATTGTGAACACCTCATCTCTACATATCTAACGTAACTATTAGGATAAATTTAAAAATTAAATGTCTACTGGAGAAAACACGTAACTTATTTAGCTATATATACCTTAAATTTAGCCGATAGCTTCTCCCAAAAATCATATAAACAATTATTTAAAAAACGGATTTCTGCATCTCTAAATGAGGAATTTCAACATAAGTATGTGTTCTGATTGGCATATATCTAGAATGAAGACCTACTTACCTTGGCAAATACATTATAACAAAGACTTCTGGCAGGGTGGAGACGTATGTATATCCAAAGGTTCATCAACTACTCTAGCCTTATGTGAAATAGGTAACGGAAACGCACAACTTACTATAACTGATAAAGCATGCACACCAGACTGCAGTTCATGTTCAACTGATTTATACACTAAGCGTTCTCTCTATACTGATACATACTGATCGAATAAATCTTACCTGTACAGGAGAAAGATTATTAAAATGATGTGACACGATTACAACTCTGAAATGCGTCTCCCCACCTACAAGCATTGACAAAATGTTTGGGTTTTATGAGAACTTATATGCCTATTTTCTGGTTATGACGGTGACTTTCGTTATATATTCTCAAGAAGCTCGGCTGAAGAGTGAGGGAAAGTTGAACAATTTACATTGAACTTCTGAGATAAAACCAGGTTTAATCGCGATTCTATTGGACCGGCACTTGAAAACATGTATCTCCCAGTGCTATTTGACAAAGACGAAATTACTTTGTACAGCCCTGCAGAACTACCGAACAACATATTCACCTGTAGTCAGCTGTCTTTTTGGAATAATAATACAGTGATATAAAATGCCGAAGTACGAAGAGAGGAGCTGAAACTGAAAGGGAAAGGTACAACCAGAAGAATTCTTTCGGTTAGGGAAGATACAACCACTTTTTATGAAGAAAGTAGTGTTACTGTATGACATTTTTTCGTTTCACATAAGATATATAGGGCGAGGACAGACGATATTGTACAGAAAAATAAAACCTACTTAAAAAAAACTGGTAGCACGCTACTGAGTAGCATCAGTGATATACTTCTAACACTCACGAAACACAAACTAGAAATTTCTGAGTTTTGGAGGACATCGAAACGGAGACAAATATAGAGAATGCTTACAGTAAAACTTTGGGGTGATTTAGAAGAAACTGGACCTTCAAGTAGTTTCCTCCCAATGTCCAGAAGGAATTCTTTCCTGCTAACGTAACTATTTTTGAGCAGAAATTTTCCTAAGTAACCTAACTTTCTCCAAAGCCCTTTAGCATGTACACCTTTTGTGAATGTAAAATAAATGCTTAAAACCCAATAAATCCACTTTCCATCTGATAAGCTAAGTTTGAGGGAAAACATAGGATAACATCTATCAGATCCATACATTTGACGGAAGTTAGCCAAGGAAATAAGAGGAGCGTTACCGTACACATAATACACTATTTACACAATGTACTATAGAAAAACTACGCAACCGGAAGAAAAAACGTATAGTAAATCGCTTACAGCAATGTGCACATAATGATATTAGAAGACGAAGATTATCAGAACTATGTGATATATTAGCGCAATACATTTCGAACAATCTGGTCACACATATACTTGTTAAGAGCATTTATATATAAAAATAAAAGGTCAACTAGACAGGAAACGGGGTAAGAGGAGATAAGGATAATGATAAGAGTAATAATAATAATAATGTGAACACAATTTGAAACCTAATCACTCTGGATAATAAGTCAATATTACCAGGGTAGGTTTAAGGTAAGAACAAACTGTTTTTGAACACATAAAGGGGGTTTGAATTTTTGTATGGCTAAGGCTTCAATGAACCTTAGTATACGCCCTTTTACACTTTTATACAGCACTACAAAAGCTGAATTTAGATCAATCTTGTGACCTGTTTCGATTATATGTTTAGCAATAGAGGATGATGGATGTTTATCCTCTGCTCTTATCGGGTCACTTGATTGTATTTGTTTCTGAAGCCATTTAGGTACATGTTCACTCACCCTAATGTTGAGATCACGATTACTCCTCCCTATGTATGTGTGACCACACACACATTTAAATTGGTAAACACAGTGGGATGTGACGCAATCGTTTTCATGTACTTTAGGTTTTGACTGAAGCATGCACCTTGTTCTTTCTTTGATGATGACCTTTGCTGCGCAATAGGTTTTATTGATGACTGATTTAAGTCTTTGTTTCAGTAAAAGGCTATTTGAATCACCTCTGAATGGTAAGGTGATGTAGACAGGCTTTTTCTCTACCGAGGCTATAGTAGGTCTCGCTGAACCATGGACTTTCCATCTATTTATGAATTTCAGAGGATAGCCATTTTCTATTAACGTTTTATTTAACAACTTAACATCATCATCAATGGCGTCATTGGTACAAATACGGTCGAGTCTGTTGAAAAGACACCTTATCAAACCACGTTTGTATTGCACAGGGCAATAACTATAATAACTAAGATATTGACCTGTCCACGTTGGTTTTCTGAAAATAGATCGCTTTACTGAACCATCTTCTCGTCTACTCAGGAGTATATCTAGGAAGGGAAGCTGATCGTTTTTCTCCTCTTCACATGAGAGACTAATATGGTTTTGGAGAGTGTTGAGTTTATTTAATAAACCGTACATATCCTCTTTTTTCTCACAAACAACTAAGATATCGTCCACATATCTCTTATAAAGTGACATGTTTCCGATTAATTCATCAGTCTGATTTTCAACATGTGCCATGAACACATCTGCTAGTAATGGTCCTAGCGGACTACCCATAGCAACTCCATCAATCTGACGAAAGTATTCACCTTCAAAAGTGAACTGAACTTTGTCAGTACATAGTACATAGAAAAACGATCAGCTTCCCTTCCTAGATATACTCCTGAGTAGACGAGAAGATGGTTCAGTAAAGCGATCTATTTTCAGAAAACCAACGTGGACAGGTCAATATCTTAGTTATTATAGTTATTGCCCTGTGCAATACAAACGTGGTTTGATAAGGTGTCTTTTCAACAGACTCGACCGTATTTGTACCAATGACGCCATTGATGATGATGTTAAGTTGTTAAATAAAACGTTAATAGAAAATGGCTATCCTCTGAAATTCATAAATAAATGGAAAGTCCATGGTTCAGCGAGACCTACTATAGCCTCGGTAGAGAAAAAGCCTGTCTACATCACCTTACCATTCAGAGGTGATTCAAATAGCCTTTTACTGAAACAAAGACTTAAATCAGTCATCAATAAAACCTATTGCGCAGCAAAGGTCATCATCAAAGAAAGAACAAGGTGCATGCTTCAGTCAAAACCTAAAGTACATGAAAACGATTGCGTCACATCCCACTGTGTTTACCAATTTAAATGTGTGTGTGGTCACACATACATAGGGAGGAGTAATCGTGATCTCAACATTAGGGTGAGTGAACATGTACCTAAATGGCTTCAGAAACAAATACAATCAAGTGACCCGATAAGAGCAGAGGATAAACATCCATCATCCTCTATTGCTAAACATATAATCGAAACAGGTCACAAGATTGATCTAAATTCAGCTTTTGTAGTGCTGTATAAAAGTGTAAAAGGGCGTATACTAAGGTTCATTGAAGCCTTAGCCATACAAAAATTCAAACCCCCTTTATGTGTTCAAAAACAGTTTGTTCTTACCTTAAACCTACCCTGGTAATATTGACTTATTATCCAGAGTGATTAGGTTTCAAATTGTGTTCACATTATTATTATTATTACTCTTATCATTATCCTTATCTCCTCTTACCCCGTTTCCTGTCTAGTTGACCTTTTATTTTTATATATAAATGCTCTTAACAAGTATATGTGTGACCAGATTGTTCGAAACGTATTGCGCTAATATATCACATAGTTCTGATAATCTTCGTCTTCTAATATCATTATCGAAATTTATCAAAGGGACTAATTGTTTTAAATGTGCACATAGTCGTATACAAATAAAATGCCACTCGCGGATTTGATTTTGACTACTTTGATGCCCATTTCCACTTAGAGTTTACTAAGATCTCGAGCTCCCGATTTTCGGGAAGCCGCTATAATAAATCTTGGGAAAATGGCACGAAAACCCCGAAATTTTCCCCAAACTTTGAGGATTTCCCCAGAATCTTACAACAATTTGGGGAAGTGGGCTTATATTTATTAATGAAACCACAAATGCGTAAAATTTTGTGGAAAAACGCAAAATTTCCCCTGACTTTGGAGTTTTCCCCAAAACTTTCTAAAAATTTCTAGACATCACGGAAAACCTAGCGAGAATACATACGTACATTTCTTACTGGGATGTTACATTATTTTTCGTCAACTACGCATTGCCTAAGAAACTTTGTTCCTTATCAACGTTTCACATATCTTGACATTTCATTATACACAAAAGTTTTTCTTCTAGAACATTGTGAATGACAGTTCAACGTCAACGTAACCTGTTCCTCTTACAAAGCAATGAAAAACATTGTATAAATGATTTATTTGTAATTTTATTAACTGTAATAAACACTTCTATGTATCACAAATCAGTCTTTTATTAACAGCGATAAATCGATTAACGCTAAGTTTTTTAGGCAACGCGTAGTTGACGAAAAATAATGTAACATATGTTACTGGGATATCCCAGTAAGAAATGTACGTATGTATTCTCACTAGGTTTTCCGTGATGTCTAGAAATTTTTGGAGAAGTTTTGCGTTAAAAAGTTTTGGGGAAAAACTCCAAAGTCAGGAGAAATTTTGGGGTTTTCATGTCATTTCCCCAAAACTTTCTTAAGGTTCCCTATGGCGGTTTACCTAATATTGGGAAATTGGAATTTTTTCACATTTCGAGAAAAATGAGTGAATGATAAATTTTATTTTGCAGAAAATTCAAGGTACGAAGACTGGACGATAAAGTAGCTAACTGAACTTAGTTACTACAATCCGAATTATGTTCAACATGTATACTCAATCAGTTTCCTGTTCGTGCCTATAAGTGTACGTTTGTGACTATCTCTAGTTTCATGTTGCAAGCCTTCATTAACCATTCAGCCACTCTAACCATCTATAAATTTAGAATTGTAATCAACTTACAGACTGATCTCAACAACCCAGGTCAAGCGATATTTCTGAAATGTCTAATGCACCCTCCGTTGATAGTACAAACTTCAAACCCTGTTCAATACTATTGGACATAATAGTCCAAATGGTTTAAATGATTGTAGACGGAATGAAAGGTGGATTTATACGCGACGTTTCCATGTGAACGTTTATGAAATCGAGTCCCGTTTAATTGTAGCTGGAATAGAAGAAGCTTACGCTTAACGGACATCCGTGCCAAGTGACAGTGGATCGCAAATACCTCCGAGCAGGAATCTCGGTATATAAACGATAATAAATGAAAACGAACTTGGTAAATCATATTATGATATTGCTCTTAGTCCATAAGAATAGGTCAAGTTTCCTCTTAAAGGACTACTGTGAAGTCGCTTGTACTAGATCAGTCGGCAGCGAAGTCCAGAATTTGACAACTCTTAAGGAATAGAAGTTGTGTCTAGAGTTCGTTCTGCTGTGTTTTGTCTCCAAGTTCTGCGTGCCTCTCTTCAAAGTTCCACATCGTCAGTAAAAAGTAATGTCTGGCGATACCTGTTGTGGAAGATTGTTTATATAAGTCAAGAGAATAATTTCTAGTACTGAACCATGGGGGACTCCATTAGGATATTCCATAGACTGTGAAAAAGTGGAGTTAACCCTGACCTTAAAACGTCGATCTTTTAGATACGAAATGAGC